AACGGTAAGGGACCGGACTTAGTTCGTACTACGTACGGTAACGTTACGTACTACGTCGTTCGTTAGTTACTCCACGTACGTCGTCCCGTACCTTCTTCTTCTCTCTCTCTCTCGTCTCTATATATATATATATATATATATATATATATATAGGGAATCCCTTATGTACAGTACATGAGGGAAAATACCCAATTGCAACAGTACCCCATTCTAAAGAACAATTGTTTCATGCAGGCTGGACCGCATTTCTACAATATTCGGTCCAGAGGTATAAAGCATCCATCTTAAAGATGGATGTGAATAGGTGGTCCATCTAAAAACAATTATAACTAATGGTCCAAATATTTTCTTAATATAATTATTATTTCTAGTTTTCAAAATTTATTTATTTTTTCATATTCATGATCTCCATGTTAAAGATTATATATTCTCTAAGAATTAGGATCAAACTATATTTAAAAAATATACTTATTGCCAAGCCCGCATTTGTACATGTGCGGGCTTGGCCGCATGCTAACTGTGTCCCATTCTAAAAGATACAACAGTACACACATGGAAACCGGCTCTTTTCCTCACTCCCTTAACACTCCCTCTTTCTCTCATTGAGATTAAGGATTATATAGATCCACTGATTCATACACGTGCACGTGCATCAAGAATTATATACATGATTGAAAACCAACCCCCCCCCCCCACGCGCAACGCACAGGCATGTGTGCACCCGAACACACATATATGTAGATGCATTGGCACAGAAAGTTGCATTAAGGATTATATGCATGATCCTAACACACTAACTAATCTTCTCTCTATCTCTCTCTCATATACACACTAATCCTATGCATCTTCATGGCTTCAGGAACTCGGGCTCGGTCCCTCTGTCCCCGTTCACGTTGTCCTCCATGATTGGATCAGACATTCAGATGGCAAGCTCAGCTTCCTCGGGTTTGTCAGGCTTCTCCATGGCATTTCCTCTCGTTACATGCCGAAGCAGGCTACTGTGTCCTGAGTCTCTCTCTCCCTTCTCCCCTCAGCGCCCCCCCCCCCCCACCCCCCACTTCTCTATCTCCATTTTTTTTCTTTTCTCTATCTCCATTTTTTCTCTTTTCTCAAATTTTCAATACGCTCGGTGGTTATGCCCAAAAGTTGGACTCTTTGTTCACACATGTGCATCATCAAGCCGAGATGAGCGGAGCTGTGGTGGCATGTATCTATACAGTAATGTGCACGTGCAGGTAGTTGTGCTGAGGGGTGGAAGAGGGGTTGTTGTACAGTATATAAGAGTGATTGTTGGACCCATATTGTCTAGCTTTCTGTAATGAAAAAAATATTTGGAGACCCGCAGTCACACTGGGCACTGTGCGGCCTACCCCATCAAAATCCATTAATTATATATATTGAGGACCCCCCTTCAAAATCCACTGAAGAATGATATGAGGAGCCCACACCCCCGCTGAAAATATGAGATAGAGATTCAGGACCCAAATGTCCACAATTTTTTCTCGCAAATTGATTTGCCAAAAATACTGATTTGGAGTCGTTTAGTTTTTCCTTCAGATTCATCTTTTTCAAATTTTGTCATATGATGAGAAAGAAATTAGATTTGGAGCCTTTAAAAATGGTCAAGTTTGCCTGTTCTATGATTTCAATAGCCCTATATCTTTCTGGTCTGCACCATTATAAGAAGGATGAGATTTCTGTAAGCCAGGCTTTATGAAAACAAATAAAGCTGCACCTCAAATCCTTGTCGGGAAAGTATTTTGGTGACGGATATATTTATGATGGTTTTAAAATCAGTTTTTTCTAAGTACTATAAAATTTGCAACTAAAAAAATAGTACTAATCTTGCGGATATGTGAATATTTACTTTTAGAGAAAAATAGGTGGTCTAGATAATTTGTTATAATCCACACTATTTTTAAGTGCTTGAAATCTTAAATTTTTTTAATATTTTCCGATGCTTATTTTAAAGTTGGGATTTACTTATTTGATAGGCCTGCAGCCCTAATCAAACCATTTTCTTTGTGAGAGCTCCAAATCTAGTTTCTAGGGGTGGAAATTGATTGGTAGTTGTTTTGAGCCCAAATTTTATCAGAAAAAACAATGAATTTGGAGGGAGGGCTGGTGTGGCCTTCGTCGAAGATTATGTGCTCCTGCAGTCCTACGGGGACGAAATGTTTAATTATTCCTAAAAGATCAAAATTGAGAAATATTTTTTGGATCCCAAATTTTGTAGATGTAACGTATTTGTTCTCCAAAAGTAAGTGTTTGCAAAATCGAATAGGAACGGCTAACTGGACATGGGCATGGAAGTGGTTTAACATGCCTAACCGGTAAATCGGCCGATTCAACCGTTCTAACCTGGCAAGTATGGGGCGGTAAAAAAAGTGTTAAAAGAAAATAAAAAATATAATTTTTTTTACTAAAATATGAAAACATATAAAGAATGATTAAAACAAAACACGTTAAAAAAAATGGATTTTAACCCATTTTATATTTTTCAAGAGCTATTTTAAAAATTTTCTAAAAAAGATGGAAAAAATATAAAAGTGAGTATTAATGACCAAAACAAATTTTAATATTTACGATAATGTAAAGAATGTTTAAAAATGCATTACAAATCAAATTCCTTATTTTTGAGAATTTATATACATTTTGTTGAATTTTTTTTTTAAAATACCGATTGATCACCCTAACTGCCCAAAATCAGAACTGACCACTGGCCGGTTTGTATCTAACCGGGCGGTTAGCGGTTAGATCGAGCGATTTTGCGAACAATCCCAAAAGCGGTTAGATCGAGCGATTTTGCGAACAATCCCAAAAGCGGTTAGATCGAGCAATTTTGTGAACAATCCCAAAAGTGGTTAGATCGAGCGATTTTGCGAACAATCCCAAAAGTTGAAGATGCACCTCAAAATTATCCCAAATTTTTTTTTTTTTTTTCAAGATTGACTATAGGTTGCTCATTTAGATCTCTGTGGTTAAGAACCCAATATAAAAAATTTCCTTCTTACGTTATTCATCTAATGATTTTGATGCCACTTCTAAATTTTAAGATCAAACAAATCCTTTTTAAGTTGATATTTTGTCTAGGAGTAAGGGTACAATTTGGTATCGCGGGAGCACAGTCACCCTAAACGGAAATTGGGAAATTAAGAGAGCCTAAATGAAAGGGGGAGAAAAGAGAGAATGGAATAAAGAGAGATTAGAGGGGAGAGATAATAGAAGTAAGGGAGGGTACAGCTTCCAGATTATGAGGATGCTTGCAAGGTGTGCAATTGCCTTTTAAGGGTTTAGAGAGAATCTAGTATCATCCAACAGTTCGAAAATAGTATTGTTTTTTATTTTTATTTTTATTTTAAAATCATATTTATCTTAAAATTGATGAATATATGGATTTTTCTATGGTACACCAAATTAAATAATAATTTTTTTTTTAAGAAAGACCAAAATACCTTAGTATTTTGGTCAATTTTTTTGTTCAACATATTTTTTATTTATTTTTATTTCATGTACCATAGAAAAAATACATTATCGTCGTCATAATCAGAACCATTTTCCAACATCTAATCACCAAATTTCAGATAAATCTAAATAAAATAAATATAAAAAACAAAACTATTTTCTAGTGGTCTTTTCCAATATGTACCATAGGAAGACTTTCCCTGGAAGTAAAAGATGATTAGGGGTGGCAATGCACTTGGACCCAACTCGGGATCCGCTGGTATACCTGACATGGAACGGGTATGGGTCTAGCATTTGGACCCGACGGTTTGGGTCTAGGTCCAATACTTGGACCTGAACACTATACTGGTGTGGGTCGAGCTGGACCCGACCCATACCTGACTTGTACCCTTAAATTATTAGAGATAAAATACTTTACTTTAAGTCCTGTTCATTTAGGTGTATTAAAGATTGTATATAATTAGAACTAGTAGTCATCTTTAGCTATTAAGTGACAAATCACACGGCTTGAAATCTAATAGCAGGTGATTGTTACTTTGTTACCAATAATATGGATATATGATGGTAAATAAAAAGGCAAAAAAGACAAAGAAAAAAAGAAACTCATAGTGAGGGTGACAATAGACCTGAGACCCGATGGGGATCGTGATGGGTCCAATTTTTTGACCCAACGGGTTGGGTCTGGGTCCAAGACCTGGATCCGAATCTATTCGGGTTTAGGCTCGGGTTCAGTTGGATCCGACTTATACCCGACCCATTACCACCCCTAAAAAACATACAAGGATAGATAAATGAGAGAGAGAGAGAGCAAAATCTTCTGAAAATGGCACTTCTTTGAAGCCAAAAGGTTATATGCTCTAGTGAAATATTTATTATATGCCATATGAATGTGCTTGAAATAGGGGCTGGCAATGGGTCCTGAACTTGGCTATAGCCTAGTTTGAACAGGCTGGTGCATCCTTGTTAAGTGCTTTTTTTTTTTGTTGACAAATGTTCCTATATTTTATTGATAACTATGAAAAGGAAATTACATCATTAGATATAACAAGAGAGGGTAAGGAAGCACCACCCTTAGCGAAAGCATTTGCCACATTGTTCGTTTCTCGATAAACATGAGAGAAGGTAACTGACAGAGAGTCGACCAGATCCATAACCTGCAACCATAAAAACCGAAGTTCCCAAAGAACTTTATGCTCCTTATTGTACCATTTAATTACATTCAAATAGTCCCCTTCATTCCAACCGCTATTACCAAGATTCCTATCAATGAAATTCTTCACCCTACAAAGTAAAGCACTCGGCTTAGCAAAATTAACAGTTTTAATACCTATCGAACCGGCATAGGAAAAAAATATATTACCAAAACTGTCTCGCAGTACACCACCAATCCCATCTAAACCAGGGTTTCCAAAAGTCCTATTGAAATTGTGCTTCAAAATTCCACTAGAAGGCGTGGTCCAGATACATCTCGGTCTACTATTAACACAACCAAGAAAGAAAAGATTGCTAAGATTAACCATAACATCAACCTTGGAGATACCTCAACCCTCTTTAGTCATTGATAACTAAGACCAAATGGAAAGCTTGATGATATGGATTAATCTTTCAAAAGACATAGAGTTCCCATCAAAGGTCATTCTATTTCTTTCCTTCCGAACCTCCCAAAGGATGACACCTTTCGTTATCTTCCAAATAATTTTCCCAATTTTAGGTAGGTGAGATAGAGCAAATTATGAAACTATCCCCTCCACAGATTGGGGAAGCACCATATTTATCCCTAGAACCCCAAAAAGCTAATACCAAATTCTCAAAGTGAATGAGCAATAAATAAAAAGGTGCGCACCTGATTCAACGTCAGCTTTACATAACAAACACACATTTGGTACAACTTTTCCCCTTTGATCAAATTGTCAATGTTCATGACCTTATTTAGAGCCCCCAACCAAATAAAGACCTGAACTTTGTGGGGAAATGAGCCATTTCCATACTTGGGCGATATGGGGACATGACCTTCTCCAATGATCGTGAAAGAGAATATTGTAGTACGATTTGACAGAAAAGACACCATCACTCTCAACTTCCCAAATCATTTCGTCATCTAGGTTCAGCGAAATATAGGCCTTATCCAACAAATCCACCAAGGCACGCCATTGAGATAATAATACATTGTTCAAGTGGCTATAAGCCAAGAAAATGCTCCACGAAATAAGATGGCCCCTTCTCTCTACAGCCTCACTAACTTTCAAATTACGACGAGTAACGATCTCATATAACTCTGGGAAAACGGACTTCAAGGGGTACTCCCTAATCCATTTGTGGTGCCAGAAGGAAACTCGGCTACCACAACCTATATTCCATCTAAAATAGCCCGAAACCATTTGCCTATAATTGAAAATTGCCCTCCACACATGCGAAGTATCCTTAACTCTTCCACCCCCAAGCCAAACATCAAATCTATCCATCCCATATTTGGCCAATAAAACTTGGACCCAGAGATGGTCCTACAAGTGAAAACTATGGCACCAACATTTGCACATCAAATCTTGATTCACCATTCTAATATTCCTAATGCCCAAACCTCCTTCTCTCTTTGGGGTGCATACTCTACATCTTAGTAGATGAAATTTCCTCTTTTCAACGCTAGAACCCCAAAGAAAATCCTGCACCATTTTTACAATTTTTTTGCAATCGATACGGGCATATTAATCAACGACATCTGATACACTGGCCTGCCCTTTGGATTTTGGGCCCAAGCCTGGCCTTTGGACCAAACTTTGTGGTCAGGTCTGAGCGATTTTGGGCCAGGCCGTATGGGGCAATTTCGACCCTCAGCCTAAAAAAAAAGTGTGCCCTAAAATTGAATAAAGCCAAAAGATTTATACTCCCACGATAGTATATTGTACGTTTACTCCTTAGGCAAAACGTAATGTATGAGCAATTTTAGGACCCAAATTTTGGAAATGTCAAAATTGAACTCTCTAGGTACTAGCAAGGATAATGTCTCAGATTGAAAAAAGACGGTCCAATCTTTAATGAGAGAGATCTAAGTGCTGAAAAACATGGAATTCAAATTTTTTATTTTGAAAATAATCATATGGGATTCTTAGGTCTTTCCTATCTTTTGAGAGAGGGAGTAGATCCTTGGGAGTAAAGTATACGAGGTAATGAATAAAATCGTTCAATAGTAGATCTAAGTGTCTAGGGAATCAAATATCTAATTTTCTTTTGGGATTGTATATTATGGAATTATTTATCTTTGATATAAACAGGTCACAATAATATCTAGCTATTAATTATCAAATTGGATCATTTAGGGCGTGTTTGAAAGTTCAAGATTTTTTGAACTTTGAGTCTAGTCGGATAACATTCTTGTAGTCACCTGATTTGAAATCTGACAGACAAAAGTGGTTTGACCTCTTTGTAATAAAAGTAAATAGTTTCTTTACATACTTTTCCAGTTCTTTTTTATGAAAATCATCGTCTAGTGATTCTAAAGTGGATTTCAAAATTCCGTATTGACAGATGCACATCATGTTCCTGTAGGAACACTGTGCTTTACGCGCTCTCATATTTTCAAGCCCCTTAACCGTGTAGGGCCAATCTTTGGACCACAGGTATAGTCTTAGATCATGGTGGACCACAGGTCAAGCCTTACACCACAGTGGTGAAAAAACTTTGCCCTCTCTTGCGACTTCTTTGTAATAGTCAAAATATGGTATCTCTGTTTACACATCTGAACGACACTTTTCTCACTCAAAGATTAGGGGTCGAGTCGGGCTGGACGTCAGATCCGATCCAAAAATTAAAATATTTATATATTTAACTATATTTCGTATATTGGGACTCAAAAAATATAACCAGACCCAGACCTAAATAGTATACGGGTCAAAGATTTGTACCTTGACCCGACCTGTCGGTCCAATTTTTGGCATACCCGGACCTCAATTGAGTCTAACACGCAGGTCCTGGGTCGGATCCGGGTCCGGGTCCATTGCCACCCCTATCAAAGATGATCCATCATTCAAATTTAAAATCCCTTACTCAAGATACCTTCTTTCGTAGTCTTGATTTTTGACCCTAAAACAACCCTTAGCTAATAGAAATTCTTTTCACTATACAAATTTACCATTTAAAAAAAAATTCAAATTCTTCAAATTAACCTTATTTGAAATCTTGGAGCAAAACAAGGCATCAGTTCACTTTCGAACTAATTGAATTTCAATCCATCAAAGAACCATGAGAGGGATAAAAGGTACCAAAAGATTATATGTCGGACGGGAGCATATTATACATTTACTCCCTCCATCAATCTTTAAGGGATTATTTTTAGGACCCAAAATTTGGGGTTTAACCTCCTTAACCTATCCGCCATCAACTTCAACCGCATGAAGAAAATGAAATTTTATCATATTCTATGTGCAACCGAAAAAATCAATATCCTAATATTGAATAAAGATTGTCAAGACTTTTAAGTTGTCATATTTAGGAACTCAAAATCTTGGGATTGTTTTTATTTTTTGTTTTTGAAATACTCATTGGTTGGTTCTAAATGAATCTCAAATTTTGACGTTGAGAAAATACTAATAAGTAGGTTTTTCTGCCTTGGGAGGAAAATGTACAATGTGATCCTGAGGGAACACCCTTCAAATTATCAAGAGAAAACGAATTGTCCCCTTCAGCAACAATAGTCGGAATTTAGGCCCAATAACATTGCCAACGTAACCCACACGACAGATGATACCTGAAATTGGAAGGAAAATCGTGGCCCCACATCGCATGTCCTCTTCTCTTAATCAAATCCTAGCCGTTGAAATCGCCATCTTGGTCCATTTATGACGTTTATTGGACCAAGTCAATGCAACCCGAGCATATATAAAGTTGGGTTTCCCTCATTGCAAGGAGCAAAAGCATGAAACCCCCCAATTCCTCTCTCCAAACTTTATGTTCCCCTCTCTGAATATAAGAAGAGCTTTGTGGTCCCTAGGGTTCCTTTTTTAGCTGATTGGAACACCAAAGGGAGTGTAAAGAAGGATTAAGGGAGGACCATGATGGAGAGTTGCTCATCTCCCCCGTATGTGAGTGCCCCTTGTTCTCCTATTGATTGTAGCTCTTGTGAATTTGCTTACTACTATAGTGCCCCAAGTAGCCCTATTAGAGGGCTCTCTGGGGTACCCTTTGATTGGGAGTTAGAGCCGGGTCTCCCCAAAAGAGTCTTAGACCATGATTCGGACTCGGACGATTTCGAGTTCGAAACTAGTCGAAGATTCTGCAGACTTTCGGACCATGGGGAGCCGAACGGAGAGCAGAGGAACATGGTGGATGACTTTCCGACCATGTCTTCTGCTGATGAGCTTTTTCGAGATGGCCGGATTCTCCCACTGAGGCTTCCCCCACGTCTGCAACATGTTGATGCTCCCAAACTAAATATTCAAAGTTGCAGTAGTTGCTGTTCGAGGACTTTGGCTACGGTCTTTCCTAGACCATTTTCGGGTAGGAATAAGGAGTTTGATCCATTCGACGTCGCTCTTGAGCGTGTAAAGAGAGAAGCGAGAGAGAGGGAAGATGGGAGGGTGCCCTACAAAAGGGCTAGGTCACTATCCCCACTTAGGGGTCCTTGTTGGGGTGGGGGGCCCACAAAAGAAATTATGCACAAGGGTCAAGCAGTAGGTCCTAACAGACACTTGGGTCAAGGAATTGGTCGTGTGGGCCCTGTGGGTCCTGCAGAGTTCGAGGAAAGGCCCTCCGACAAGGGGGATGGCCCTATGATAGAGGCGAGGTGCCCTACGGACACCACGGGCCCCATGAGAGATAGGGGTTTGTATGGGCCTGAAGGGTCTAGATATCCCAATACTACTGGGTCCATATCAGCTAGATATCCTAATACTACAGCCCCTATAGGAGTCCCTACACCTACTGTTAGTGTGGGACCTATAACACACACAAAGTTTAGGAGTTTCTCTTTGAAGGGATCTAAGAGATGGAAGATTGTGAATTTGGTTTTTAGGAGTGCTTCAGAAGGGACGGCTGGCAGCAATGATGGATTGAAGGACTATACTATTTCCATGAGGAAGTCAAGGGATGAAAACTTTAGGTCAGAGGAGATGAAGAAGAAGAATTTCATGCCCCTTGCACATGGGTTGCTTTCTTGTGTGGGCTTTCATGGAAAGCATGCAAATACTATGATGCCTAAGGAGCCAACTCTTGTTTCTTAATTCCCCTCATTTCTCTTATTATATTTATATTTTCCTTAGGTTTTTAGAATTTCAAAATACTGTATATCTTTGCAATCTTTGTTCTCATTCCAAGAGATTTATATGTATTAAGCTTAAAAACATGTGAAAAAGTTGTAATTCTAGTGGACTATAAGCATGTGAGAAAGGTTAATAAAATTGCGTAGTAGATTGTGAATTCCTCTGTAAATTAATAGACTATTACTGCTAGTACAAACCCCCTGTGTTTTTCATGGCAGAGAGAGAGAGATGATAAAAAAACTCATTTGGGAAAATATTGATAGTTGTGATTAGGATTAAGTGGGATTGCTACCAAATTTTGAAGAGAGAGGAGAGAGAAGGAAAACGGGATAAGAAACATCTAATTCATTTTTAAAGAAGGGAATCATGTTTCATGGATAAAAATCCTAATTTAAGAGAAAGAAGTTTAACCCACTAAACTAGGAGAGTTCATGGTTTTTCTATTTTCTCCCATGAAAGAAAGATCATTGAATCTTTTCAGTCAATTTTATTAAAATTAAGTCAACCCATATCATTAACTCTAAGTCAGTTTCATTGAAAGTAAGTAAATTACCTCCTAGCACATTGTTATAAAAAATATGTAAAATCTTTTCATAGGAAATATGTTTCGGCAAATTTATTAACCTTTGTTATAGGAAAAGGCTTCCGAACGTGTATAGGCGGATAATATACAGTGATTTCGCCTCCCTCGATCGCGCCGTCCATTCAAACAAAATATGACGAAAAGCTTGGATTGGCTGAAAAACCCTGCGAGCAAATGGGTGGGATTTGCTCAAATGCTTCAAACCCAAAAAAATTTCCCTTTACCCCTCATCCCGCTTCCTCTCCTCTACTCTCTCGTTCGCTCTCTTCTCTCCTCTGCTCTGCCAAGCTAGGGTTGCAAAACCCCTCCTCTTGCAACAGACGAAACCACCAGTAGCATCATATATATCAGAGCTCTCTACTGAAAGCACGAGCAGTTCCAAATGCAGAAGTTTTTGGAGCATCCAAAATTCCAACTTCAGAAGCGGATCCTCTACTAGCATATCAAGTAGTTGATTGAGATCGGGATTAGGTGAATATGAATAGCCCGACCCAGTGGTTTCAGTTAGTTATAGACCCCTTACCTTCGCTATGCTCAGGTAAGTGCTCCGCCATATCCCTACCTTCGTGAATATACTCTAACCTAAATAAAGAAGAAAAACCTAATTTTTTTCCAAAACGAGATTTATAAATAAAACCCTATAGTTTACAATGCTATGCATCAAATTCGTCAATTTTTTTTACAGTGGATATTTTTCAATGGAAAACTCTCTCATGGAAAACCTAATTTTTTTCCAAAACCCAACCCAAAAAACGATGTTTTTTTTTTTCCAATAAATCACCGAATTCTTACTTCAAAAATCGAATTTCCTAATAAATCCAGAATCAATCACCAAATTATTACTCCAAATCACAGGTCTAGCCAATCATATGAGAGCACGGTTCTGATCTTTGCAGTAAAAATGTAAGGTTTTATTTACAGTGATCCACCCATTGTAAATCATTGTAAATAAAATTTTTTAGTTCCTTTCTCTACTTTTATTGCCCCGTTTTTTTTTTATGTAGTTCTAAAGTGATTGTAGAGCAAAAATTAGGATTGTTTTTTTGTTTTTCTTTTGCAGGTCGATTGCTCACTGCATTTCCTGTCACCGTCTATTCACAAATACTCAATACCCAATTGTGCTTTCAGTTTCAGTAACAAAATAATGGTGGGGAGTCCAAGGCTCAATCCTAGACGTGAGGATAAATTACTTGCTTTTTGCTTTTTTCTATTATTTCTTCTATTTATTCATCATTATATTATTCATTTTCTGATGGGTGTTTGAGTTTTTCAGTGTTGATATATCGGTATTGTTTGCTAATTGGCAGCACTTTCTCTCTCCGAGTTTCATTATTTCTTCTGTTTATTTGTCATGACTTGCAGTTCTTTTCTTATTGATGTATGTGTTCTTCCTTGTTGATATTTGGGTATGGAATTCTGTTGCTTTCATTGGTCATTACATACTGGTGTTATTTTCTTTAATGGGGTGTTGATTTCTCGATGGTATTTATGAAAACTGTAAATTTCATTTGAGAATAGAGGAAACTTTTTTAGTTCTTGTAAATAAAAGTTTTTAGCTCCCTTCTCTTCTTTTATTGCTCTTTTTTTTTTTTTGATGTAGTAGAACAAAAATTTGGATTGTTTTTTTTTTTCTTTTGCAGGTCGATTGCACTTATTTTTTTTTTGGTACCTTTGCTAATATTAGGAATTAATGCGCAAAAAATATTTAAAGAAATCATGTTTTGTAATTTGATGTGGTGTGGAATGTTTGTGATTTTGAGATTTACCCCAAGACATTGAGTTATTTATGTTGAGGGCTTTTGAATTTGTACCAGGTGAAAATATGGGCAAATGGCCTGGTTCTTCCTGCTTTTTTTGTTTTCTTGGTAGTGGCCCAGTTTTTCTTTCTTAGAGAAGTTTTATATGATGAAGCGTGTTAAATAATTATGGTTACTTGGTTGATTACTATATGTTCTTGTTTTTTTTGTTTTAAAGTGTATGAATTGAAAGTTGGAGTTACCCATTTGAGGATTACCTTTTCAATGCTAGTCATTGCATTTAATAAACAATGGTTCTCGTTTCCTTTTTCTTTTTTTGGAGTATTTGTGTTTGATCTTATTTGTATTTTTAACTTACAGCTTCCATTCTCGAATGGAAATTACAGTTTTCATAAATTCCATCGACAAATCAACACCCCATTAAAGAAAATAACACCAGTATGTAATGACTAATGAAGGCAACATAATTCCATACCCAAATATCAACAAGGAAGAACACATATATCAATAAGAAAAGAACTGCAAGTCATGATAAAGAAACAGAAGAAATAATGAAATTAAGAGAGAGAAAGTGGTGCCAATTAGCAAACAATACCGAAATATGAATACTAAAAAACTCAAACACCCATCAGAAAATGAATAATTTAAGAAGAAAAAATAGAAAAAAAGCAGAGAGCAAGTAATTTATCCTCACTTCTAGGATCGAGCCTTAGACTCCCCACCATTATTTTGTTACTGAATCTGAAAGTGCAATTGCGTACTGAGTATTTGTGAATAGAGGGTGATAGGAAATGTAGTGAGCAATCGACCTGCAAAAAAAAAAACAAAACAATAATCCCAATTTTTGCTCTACAATCACTGTAGAGCTACATCAAAAAAAAAAAAAAGTAACAGTAAAAGAAGAGAAAGGAACTAAAAATTTTTATTTACAGTGATCACTGTAAATAAAACCCTACATTTTTACTCCAAAGATTAGAATTGGGCTTTCATATGATTGGCTAGACCTGTGATTTTGGAGTAATAATTTGGTGATTGATTTTGGATTTATTAGAAAATTCGATTTTTGAAGTAAGAATTCGGTGATTTATTGGCAAAAAAAACGTAGGTTTTTGGGTTGGTTTTTGGAAAAAAATTAGGTTTTCCACGATAAATAGTTTTCCATTGAAAAATACCCACTGTAAATAACTTTCACGAATTTGATGCATAGCATTGTAAGCCCTAGGGTTTTATTTATAAATTTCGTTTTGGAAAAAAAGTGGGCTTTCTTCTTTATTTAGGTTAGAGTATATTCACGAAGGTAGGGACATGGCAGAGCACTTACCTGAGCATAGCGAAGGTAAGGGGTCTGTAACTAACTGAAACCATTGGGTCAGGCTATTCATATTCACCTAATCCCGATCTCGATCAACTACTTGATATGATAGTAGAGGATTCGCTTTTGGAATTGGAATTTTGGATGCTCCAAGAACTTCTACATCTTGAACTGCTCGTTGAAAGAAAGACCTATGTGATCTTTTGCCGGGGAAATACTTTTATTATTATTATTATTAATAATCACCCTTTTATAATTTTGGCAACAAGATCACTCACAGATGGTCCTATTACAAACAATAGAAATTCCAAAAATAAATAACACATCAATAAAATAAATCTCAACTACTTGATGCCATTCATACAACCTAACACTGTGCTTGAGAATATGAAATAAAGAACAAGTATAAGATAAAGATGACGGAGATTACCTTACCGGGCTTCTTACACCCCACACCGAGTCACCACATCCAATGGCTCAGGATCTGCGGTCTAGCTTCAATCTCGAATAGGGAAAGCTGATTTCGGCCAAACTATGTAACCACTCTTAATTCTTCACAAAACCCTAACCTCCAAAAATAACTTAGGCTTCCCTCTAATTTCTACAACCCTTATTTTCTTCTTAAGTCTACGGAGAAAAAGAGCAGTAGCTAGAGTTGGGGCGTGGCCCCCCTTTGAAACTTTGCAATCGAGAGGGTTAGAGAGAGAAACTCAAAGGAGAGAGAGTAGGGCGTGCCCCTCGAAGAGAGAAAGAATTGGAGAGAGAGAGAGAGAGAGCTTGTTATTATTTTAAAGATGTGAAAGAACTTTCTTATTTATAGAGAAAATAAGATCTAAGGTTTCTTTAGGGTTTCCCATAGTTTGCCTTTTTTATGAGATTGAATCTGTATTGTTGATCAAGGTGACTTGTGGGGTTAGAGATCTGAGCCATCTATTCTATAGATGGGCCATCAATATTATGGAAGGTGCTTGGACCATTATCCCCTTTTTCTTAAACCATTTTCCCATCAATATATTTAGATAAAATCGATATAATGCATTCTATAAAAATAGCATGATCATATCACATATTCCATAAGGATATGTCAAACATTATCAAGTAAATACTACCAAAATTTTAAACAATATAAGGTCAATGTTTACCATCTATTCAAATTGACCATATCCCTTTTAAAGCATACTTATCATATTACAAAATATGTCATGACCGCTATATCTTTTCCAAGATTTGACCACATACCTCAAATCAAAATTACTATAATATTAAAGTCCTTGATCACAAGGAAACAATTGAATCCAAGGGGTGGGGCGTGCCACCCCTTTGTGGCATATGGTGGGCCCCCACCCACATGCCACATGGTAGGCCCATGTGCACATTGGCCCCCCCCCATAGAATTTTATAAAATAAAGTTTAAAAATTAAATAAAACGAATTAATATATATTTGAATTTTTACAACTTTGTAAAATCAATAACTGTATTTTTATAAGTTCAAAAATCATAACTGTATTATTTTATAAGTTCAAAAATCACAAGGGTTACACAGTCCCCCGTCTTAGTAGCCCTTGATGAGGTCGGAGCTTTTGCAAGAGGACGGGTTTTCCAACCTTTGCTTGGCAGAGCAGAGGAGAGAAGAGGCCGAACGAGAGAGTGGAGGCTCGCAGTCTAGAGGAGAGGAAGTGGGATGAGGGGTAAAGGGAAATGTTTTGGGTTTGAAGCATTTCAGAAAATCCCACCCGTTTGTGCGCAGGGTTTTCCAGCCAATCCAAGCCTTTCGTTTTATTTTGTTTGAATGGACGGCGCGATTGAGGGAGGCGAAATCACTGTATATTATCGTCTATATGCGTTCGAAAGCTTTTTCCAATGTGTGTGTGTATATATATATATATATATAATTAGGTACGCCTCATTAGGATGTACAACACTCCAAATTTCAGATCATTCCGATTAGTAAAAAAAAAAAAATGGAATACTACCGGATAACTGTGACAATGCGATGAAGTTTGGATAGTGATGAGGATGGACAAAATTACTGTTCATTTTCGCCTATAGGCGTTTTGTAGTATATATATATATATATATATATATATATATATATATATATATATATATAATTATTAGTAGTACTATTAGTACGGTACAACAAAGAAACTACCGACTACGACTACTATAGTTACGTGT